TCATAAGGACACGTTTTTTTTTTTTGTCTGATACGTAGCCTGTTCATTTTTGCATCATGGGAGTTGTAGTTATTATAATAAGATAACAAGTAACAATATGAAATTATCTTTTATTACAAAAAAATTACCTTCTTAACAAAACTGGCATCCCATTGCTTTTCTGATCACAATAACTTTGTTGTAGAAACTAAACTTGAATAATAAGTATTTTATCTTTCAGAACCTTAGCTGAATGATTTTCGCATTCAGATTGTTAACTAATATGAATTTTCTTATTTTGTGGCTGTTTAGTTCCTATATTGAAAATAGAGATGGATGCATAGGAGTATAAGACTGAGCCCTCTTTGGTGCATACTAAATTTTGCACATCATTTAACTAAATTTAAATGATATTGATGACTGCTTCCCGAGTAAATAATTTCCATGACTTATCAGAAGCAGCTGTCAGACGATTCTAAAAATACTTACACTCAATGGCATTTTTCCTATTGACTGTTTGGGTGCCAGGTAACAATCAAGAATGAAGTTCCTCCGAGTTTCATGGTCCACTGTATCAGGAATTATCATGTGACTGTGAACATAACTGATAATTCTCCCTAAACTATTCCCGAAACTAAGCCAAAGGGAAGTGAAACTTCAGTCATTTCTGATGATTAATTAAGATAGTCTTGAAAAAATTTTGTTTGATGTTCTTGCCACTAATTTATTGTTTCAAAGTGTGACATTCTGTCTTTAAATTCCTATTTTCTCCTTCAGTGTTATGATGTATAATTGATAAGTCAGTTATATTGGTTACAGTTATCAATACAAAGCCTTAAAAATACACCCTGTTCCTGTTAGGTCCAAGGCAAAAATAATTTTCAAGCATCGTACTAAACAGTCACCAGGCATATTCAGCATTCCAGGATGTAGCACCCTTAGCATGGTTTTGTTGAAGATACCCTACAGGTTGTTTGAAAGAATGCCAACTCTCTCAGCCTTTACAGGTCAGATTTTCCTGCCTCTAACCATTCTTGAGGCTTTTCTTTGCGCTCTCCTAATATGTTATGGGCTTCCCTGGTGGCTCAGATGGTAAAGAATCCGCCTGTAATGCAGGAGACCTAGGTTCCATCCCTGGGTGGGGAAGATCTGCTGGAGAAGGAAATGGCAACCCACTCCAGTATTCTTGCCTGGGAAGTCCCATGGACAGGAGCCTGGTGGGCTAAGTCCATGGGGTCATAAATAGTCTGACATGACTTAAAGACTCAACAACAACAGCATGTTAAACTTCCATCTTTTCTTTAAATGATGAGGTGCCTTGGAAAGGGTCTGGCCTATGAAGAAGGGAAGCAAAGACTAATTTGTGGTCCAAAACCTGAAAACCATCCTTTTTAGCTTTAAAATATAGCTTTCCAGTCTGATGTCTCTGGTACTAGTTTGGCAACCCAGTGTATCCATTTGGAAAATTAGAGGCTGCTTAGTCTTACTCTATAGATACCCAATTTTGATGTACTTGTTTATTTTCTTTGAATGAAAGTCATTTCCTTATTATGAAGGAGAAATACCAGCTGGATAGTGAAACTAATTCACATAGATTTTACTAGAAAAGAAATATATTTCCAAGGAACAAAAGAGCCTAAAAAAAGTCCTGCAAAATATATTGTCAAACAAAAAATTCCCTGGAGAACAAGGACCATGCTAATATTATCTACCAGACACAGCATCTATTCTGGATACTTTTATTATTGAAGATATTTTCTGATCAGAGCATATAACTTTAGTGCATCCTAAGTTCTCCTGCCTCTTTGAACCACAGCTCTCTCTGTAAGTTATGGGTTAAAAGAACTAAGTTCATTTCACTCTCCAGTGAAAAATAGCTCCTTAAGATTCATGTTGGAAGTCATCTGTGGAGAATTCTTGCAAAACAGTTGGTACTTACTTTTTGCTAAAATTAAATTAATTAGCCTAACAGATTAGAGTAACTTTTATGTTTCCTTTATTCCTTACTTAAAAAAAAATAATGACATCTTACAAAACTGAAATGGAGATTATAGTGGCCATACAATGCTGGCAATGGTATCTTGAAAACTGAAGGTCTTGATTTTTCTGCTAAGTTATCACTAATCTTTTGTCTGTTCAAAGGGAATGAATGACACCCTTTCCCCATCCCATCCCCACACAAACACACACAAATGAAAAAGCATTTGAAAGAGAAATAAGATGGTCAGTTTCCATTTACTCAGAACTTCCCCCCTGCCCCCAAGATCTTGCCTGTGATTTTCACTAGTCTTTGCTACTAATAATTGTCTATAATATATTATAGCATTTACCATATTTCACTGTTTTAAGCACTTTTATAAATCGACTCATTTAGTGCATATAGCACTTAGAGGTCGGTATGAGTGTTAGCCTCATTTTACAGATGAGGAACCTGAAATGAAGCCAGGTGGCTGAGGAGTGGCCAGGCCGGGACTTGCACAGGAGTGCATGCACTCGTGCACTGGCTGACCCTCGGCATTAGGCTCGGCTGTTCGTCATTGCCTTCTGTTCACCAGAATCCAATCTGCTCACCAGATCAAAAGAAATCCATTCATTTTCTTTCTTGCTGAACTCTGAATGAATAGCGTTTGATGTTGTCAATGATCCTCTTCTTGAAACTTTATCGTCCTTTGCATTTGTGACAGTTATTTATTGAGCCCTGATTCATGTCAAGTGCTGTTCTAGGGACTGAGGATGGTGGTGCTGGTTTAGTCACTAAGTCATGTCCGACTCTTGTGACCCCGTGGACTCTAGCCTGCCAGGCTCCTCTATCCATGGGATTCTCCAGGCAAGTATGCTGGAGTAGGTTGCTCTTTCCTTCGCCAGGGGATCTTCCCAACCCAGGAATTGAACCCGGGTCTCCTGCATTGCAGGCAGATTTTTTTACTGATTAAGCTATAAGGGAAGCCCATAAGCTATAAAGGACTGAGGATATTTCAGAGGATAAAAATCAGACAGAAATCCTTTTGTGGAGCTCCTTTTCTAATGGAGAAAAAGAAAAGAAAGTGAAGTCGCTCAGTTGTATCCGACTCTTTGTGACCCCGTGGACTGTAGCCCACCAGGCTCCTCCGTCCATGGGATTCTCCAGGCAAGAATACTGGAGTGGGTTACCATTTCCTTCTCCAATTCTAATGGAGAGAGACAGATAAAGACAGACTGAACATAAACATGAACTACATAGTATGTGAGAAGATGGTAAGTGCTATGGAGAAACATAAGTATGTATGGGGGAGAAAGCTAGGATTTGGGAGGACTGCTGGGGGAGGACGGATGGCGTGGTTAAGCGAAGCCCTGTTGTTGTTCAGTTGCTAAGTCGTATCTGGCTCTTTACAACCCTATGGACCGCAGCCCACCAGGCCTCGCTGCCCCTCACTATCTCCTGGAGTTTGCCCAAGTTCGTGTCCGTTGAGTCGGTGATGCTATCCAACCATCTCATCATCTGCCGCCCTCTTCTCCTCTGCCTTCAATCCCTCCCAGCATCAGGGTCTTTTCCAGTGAGTCAGCTCTTTGCATCAGGTGGCCAGAGTATTGGAGCTTCAGCTTCAGCATCAGTCCTTCCANATAAATATTCATGATGAAAATAGATATATAAATAGATATTCTGTTTCTCTGAAGTACCTTGAATAATACAGTAAAGAAACAATTCTGTGTTTTTTCTTGACAGAGGTGAACTATAATAAAGATAATGACACAGACAAGCAGCAATTTCCAGACATAAGCCAAACAGTGATATTTTGGTTGTTTTTTTTTTTTTTTTGGCTGAGGCATGTGGGATCCTCACTCCCCGACATGTTCAACAAGAAAGAATTGAGTGAATAAATTATATCTCCATACAATGGAATACTATGAAAATATAAAAATACTTTCACATTTATTACTTATCAATATGACATATTAACTGAAAAAAGCTGATTATCAAATAGTACTCATGGTACAACTCATGCATAGGAAAAATAAAATACATAAAATTTTAGTAGTAGTTTGGAGTGATTTTAAGTTTTTTTATATCTGCATTTAAAATTATTTTGTGATTTTTGTGAATAAAAAGAGTACATATTCTAATTATACTTTAGTAGGATTTATATAAGTATAATTTGAAAATAACATACATACATAGAGAAAGACTTGAAGGATATATATACCACAGGGTTAATGTATTTTATTAATATATAAATAACAGGGTCATGAATGAGTTTTCATTTTCTTTTTTTTCCTATATTCTTTATATTTTCTGAGTTTTAGAAATGACAGGTATTCCCAGGGCAATGTAAATATATATACATATATATACATTTAAAGGAAAAGTTTGGACATGGCCAGCTAGTAAACTTGCCCTGTAAAGTACTATATCTTCATCTCGATGACTGTGTTTTGGGACTGTGAGGCAGGTATAGGACCATGTATAGTGAGGGGAGAGGGAGGCATTCTTTCCCGTGTTTGGGGGAACTAGCAAGTTACTAATTTTTCAACAACAGGCCCTCTTTCTGCTGTGGAAGCACGCAGAATCAGGAGGGGCAGGTAGAGAAAAACCTGAAAGACCTATTGACTCCAGTTGGAATGGCCTTTAATTGCCTTTCAGATGATTCTTCCATAAGGAGTTTAAAAATTACATTCATTTATTAATGGATGCAAACGTTACATTCTACACACTATAAAATGTTACGTTCCATGTCACTGAAAAATTCTCCCATTTCTCCATTGTCATTGGAAATGATTACTCTTTCCTTGATATCTCAGATTTCAACTTGGTATACCTTATTATTTTTGCTCAACACTCTTCAGTTAAAAAAAAATACAACTCATTCCAGGCAGAGAGACTTTAAAAACAACTTTACAGCAATTTTGTGGTATCCATTTTCAGATGCCAGTAGGCAGCACTGCATATCAAAATGTACTGTCAGGTTCTAAGAAAGTGATAAAGATACGAACTGGTTGCCTAAATGAAATAATTGATTGATGTGATTTTGTCTTGTCATTTCAAGGGAGTGAAAAAAATAGACCCCAAACTGTATGAAAAATTTATCAGCCATAGATTTGGAGAAGAAGTGGCACATTATATAGATCTTTGCTCCATGCTGAAGAAAAAGCAAAGTAGTGGCTATTATCACTGTGAGTCTTCAATTGTGATTGGTGAGTGGCATTTAAAAATTATTATCTTTGGTTTTGATTTCTTCAGCGTCATTTTGTTTTGGCAAATGTTAATGTTGTATGTTTTTCTCAGTGACATATTTTCCTAAACATTATGTTTTGACAATAATACATTAAAAATTTTGTGGAACATATTCAGTGTTTATATTTATCAGTCAAGATTTTAGTACCCATAGTTTTTATACTTCTGTGCTTTAAAATATAATCATCATGAAGTCTTGAAATGTTGATTCAAAATTCGTTTCGGTGTAATTTTATTTTGTGAATATGAAGAAAGCGTTTTCATCAGTGAAGGCCTTTATGATCACAGTCTTCTATGCCAGGTATTTTCATCTTTGCTGCTTTTAATTAGGAATAGAATGTGCCAGGCCAGAAAGTTTCACTCTGAGAAGAAAAAGCATAGGTGGCCTGCAGAGATTGAAAACTTGTCTTCCTTAAGAGAAACGTGTTTTGAGGGGAGACCAAGATTCATGCATAAATGCTCTGTCATCTTATGAGGGAGATGGCTTGTGATGAGACAGATTCATACACAGTTATGTTTTCAAGTACAGAGCATGTACACCAAAAGAAGAATGTGAAAAACTGGAACAGGGGTATTTCTGTTTTGCAATGTGGCTGCCTTTCAAAGGAACCTGATCTGTTGTGACTGAAATTTACTATTTCAAGCTGGGCAATCTTCTTATAAAATTGTGAACTTCAAGACGACATCATTTGTGTACTTTTTAAGTGACGTGAAAATAGAGAAGATAAAAACATTTATCTAAATATCTGAAGGATCTTCAACCAAGGTACTTTCTCTCCACCATCAAGGTCAGCTTGAAGAAAACCTATGGAAATATACATCCTGAAAGAATCTTTATACAGAAAGTATTTTTAAAATGTTCAGGAAGACAATTTTATTTCTAAATTCTCATCAGAGAAGCCATTTTACTTTCTAAAGATCTTAGCCCTCTTAAACGGAAGATATTCAGTATGTCCTTTGCATTCTTTGTTCTGAAACATGTCAAGTGTGTTTTAAGGAAGACTTTTTTGTTTTCAGAACCTCTGTAAGAGAGCTGGCTTCCATCAAAGTTTTGATGCGGACCAAACATTTTTTAGGTTCACTGTAAAAAGCAAATTTAAATCCTTCTTGCATAATACAGATTTTGGCTAGCTTTCCATATCTTCTCTGTAATTACTTTAGACCAACCTTGAAGGAGAACTCGGTGCTTCATTGCCTCTCCCACTCCTATTTTTTTTATAAAAGAGCAGTATGTAGATTTTACTGAAGGTATTGTGGGCCTGCATCATGCAGCTCACAGCATGGATCTCCAATATTGCCATTATACAGCTCTGTTCAGCTCACCCCTAATTACTCTGCTCCACTCACTGGGTTTTCTTTTACTGCTCTTTTCCAGCTTGGCTTCTTAAACTCCCCTTATCCTAGGCAATTTCTCTCGACTTTTTCTCTCAAGCTCTTTATCTCTCATCCTTTTCTAATTCAGAGCAATTCAGCTTCTTTCAAATTTCCCCCATACGGATCATTAACATTATTTAAAAAATGGTTTTTGCCTGTTACACATAATCTGTATTCTCCTACCATTCTGAACATTAATGTTAACATTGAAAATGATAATTATTTTATAATCATTGACCAATTTTAATACACACTAGAGTCATATCTGCTGGTGACAATTACTGATTATCTTCATCTTACCTGAGTTTTACAGCAGAAAATATTGGGCAGGATTCAGGACTCTTTCTTTGTGGGTTTCATTTCTTGTTCAGGTTTTTTTTTGTATTATCTTAAAAAAAAATTTTTTTATTGGAGTGTAGTTGATCTACAGTGTTGTGTTAGTTTCAGGCGTACAGTGAAGTGAATCGGTTATATACATCTATCTCCACTCTTTGAGATTCTTTGCCCATTTAAGCCATTGCGGAATATTGAGGAGAGTTCCCTATGCTGTACAATGTCTCCTTATTAGTTATGTATTTTATATCTAGTCATGTGTGTATGTCAGTCCCAACCTCCCAATGCATCCCTTGCCCTTACCTCTGATAACCGTCACTTTGTTTTCTACATTTGTAACTCTATTTCTGTTTTGTAGATAAGTTCATTTGTACAATTGTACCCTTTTTTTTAGATTCCACATATAATATCTGTCGTAAGATTATTTGTCTTTCTCTGTCTGACTTGCTTCACTCAGTTCGACAATTTCTGGGTCCATCCATGTTCCTGCAAGTGGCATCATTTCCTTCTCTTTTTTGTGGCTTCGTGATAAGCCATTGTGTTTGTGTTCCACGTCTTCTTCATCTGTTCCTCTGTTGATGGACATTTGGGTTGCTTCGGTGTCCTGGCTATTGTAAATAGTGCTATTGTGGACCCTGGAGAACATGGATCTTTTCAAATTATGGATTTCTTCTGATATATGTCCAGGAATAGGGCTGCAGGATATTATGGTATGGATTTTCAGTTTTTTAACGAGTCTCCATACTGTTCTTCACAGTGGGTGTACCAGTTTACATTCCCACCTTCAGTGTAGGAGTGTTCTTTTTTTTCCACAACCTCTCCAGCATTTATTGTTTGCATAACAGATTTTTGACGATGGCCATTCTGACCAATGTGACAGGGAGTCTCTCAGTCGTGTCCAACTCTTTGCAACCCCATGGAATGTAACCCACTAGACTCCTCTGTCCATGGAATTCTCCAGGCAAGAATACTGGAGTGGGCTGCCATGCCCTCCTCCAGGGGATCGTCCCAACCCAGGGATCGAACCCGGGTCTCCCACGTTGCAGGTGGATTCTTTACCGTCTGAGCCACCAGGAAGCCCCCCTGACCAGTGTGAGGTGATATCTTATTTGTAGTTTTGGTCGAATAATTAGTGGTTGAGCATCTTTTCATGTGCTTTTTAGCCATATGGGTGCTTTCTTTGGAGAAAGGTGTTTTTTAGATGTTTCACTCTTTTGATCAGATTTAATTGGCTTACATTTGGTATGGTTGCTCTTTAATTTGATCTTAATTCAAATATAATGTCTGTTTCCTGAACCTTGAAACCAGTATTGTGTTGTGTACAAAGAATCGGACAGATTTCAGATGATCATGAAATACTTTGTGTTCAGAATTCTAGAGTAGAATTTGGGCTTCAGGAACTCTGGGAACCTCCTGAAATTATTCATAAAACTGTATATATGTGAATATATATGTGAATTTTTGTGGGGAGAGAATTTTTAGATTTGCAAATTTTGTATCTTAATTTGTTAATGGTGCATTCTTGGATAATACTGGATTTCAAATCACTGATTTTATTTTCAGCTGTCTCAGTTATACTGTTTAGGGCATTTAAAAAATACCAGTGACTATATGCTTCATTTCCAAGATTTGCAGTTGATTTTTATCATATTTTCCTGCTTGGCTCTTTGATTATGGATGTATTCCTTCATTTATCTTTTTGATGATTTCAATATAATTAATTTTGAAAATTCTTATCATATTTGACGATCCGGTTCCTTGGGTATGAATTCTTGTATTTGTTGGGTCTTTTGTGGCACTTGATTTCCTCTGGTGCTTTTAAAGTTTTTTTGAGAACTCATTTAACTGTGTATGTTTCCCACTTATAACCCCATGTGTGGTTTTGCGGATGTCTCAGCCCTGGTCCCACAGGGTAATTGCTTTGTATTAGGAACTGGCAGCAGCAAGCTATTTTTGTCCATAAGGAGTTGGATTTCATTCTTCTTGTAACTCTTACTAGTTTGTGAGAATTTTTTTTTTTTTTAAGAATAAAGATTATTAGCCTTTGCTATGTTGGCTTCAGATATTTTCCAGGTTTTATTTTGCATTCAGTTTTGGTCACGAGAAATTTTTCATATTTGATGTTTTTAGTTTTGTAAAATTAAAGATACAAAAATTCTGTGATTTCTTTAATTATTGTGACTAGAGTCATCTCCAAACTAAAAATTGGATACATTTTCATTTATATTTTCCTCTGCTTTTTGGGTTATTTTTACATTTGAGCTTTTCATCTATCTGGTGTGATCATTAATTAAGTACTCAGACACTCTGATTAAGAAAGAAATTTAGTTACTAAAAGTGGGTGTGAAATGGAGATTCAGTTTTAAGAAGTTTTTTTTAGAATTTTTTTGCACCCCGCCAACCTTACTGTGTGTTCCGAAGATCACTACTTAGCAACCCTTCATGTTGTCTTGGGCTTCCCATGGTGGCTCAGTTGTAAAGAATCTGCCTGCTAACGCAGGAGATGCAGGTTTGATCTCTGGGTGGGGAAGACCCCCTGCAGAAGGAAATGGCATCCCACTCCAGTATTCTTGCCTGGGAAATGCCACGGGCAGATGAGCCTGGTGGGCTACAGTCCATGGGGTTGCAAAAGAGTCAGACACGACTTAGTGGCTAAACAACTACAACATGTTGTATTAATACTGGACTAACACTGGGTTTTTGTTTGTTTTTATAATTGTTGCAAATTTAGGGGTAATTTTACTTAAAAAAAATCTGGGTTTCTGGTGCCTTCGAACAATCAAAAAATATGGCCACACCTGTTTCACGATCTTTTTTTTTTTAATTTTTATTAGTTGGAGGCTAATTATTTTACAATATTGTAGTGGGTGTTGTCATACATCGACATGAATCACGATCTTGAATGCTGTGATTTCCTGGGTGGGTAGTAGGTACACCTTGAAAGCAGCTGCCTTTCATCACCCCCTCACTCTTGTTCTTTGTTTTACAGTCTACTTAACTCAGTCGCACTACCTCTATAGTTCTTGACAGCATCTGAGTTTGGATCTCCTGGCAGCTGTTGGGCCTGATTTACATTTCCATGCTGAGCATTTTCTTCTCCAACTTCTGTCACTGTGCATCTTTATGTGGAGTGTTAGGGGGAAGTTTGTTGGTTATGGAGGCAATAGTCATACATTCAGATGCAAGAAAAAAGTACTACTTTTTAATTCTCATCAAAAATTTGGTTGATAATATGCTTCCTTCATATTGGGCT